TCCATAACTTACTATTAGAACCGTTAGCCACTCATTTTCACACTACACATGTCATGTCACTCTCATGATTTTAATGCCCCGCCACGGTGGTCTAGTGGCTAAGGTACTCGGCTGCTGACCCGCAGGTCGCGGGATTAAATCCCGGCTGTGGCGGCTGCATTTCCGATGGAGGCGGAAATGTTGTAGGCCCGTGTACTCAGATTTGGGTGCACGTTAAAGAACCGCAGGTGGTCAAAATTTCCGGAGCCCTCCACTACGGCGTCTCTCATAATCAAATGGTGGTTTTGGGACGTTAAACCCCACAAATCAATCAATCAATCATGATTTTAATACTTTCATGTTTTACCCACCTTCCCTACGAAGAATTCTAGGCCCCTATACAGCCAGTAAACATACCAACTGCCCACATCTTTTGTCTCATGTACTGACGCTCTTTGGCCATCATATGGCCCTTGCGCCAAAAAACACCATATATTGTCATGAATTGTGCTAATTTGATACAATTCCTCATTATTGTGCTGAGCTGCGCCAAAACCGTGAAATTTGCTGTAATTGCGCCACGCTGCGCCAAAATGCCCAGCCAGCCTTAAAATTTTCTCAGGTGCGCTGATTCCGCCGAGAAATGCAGGCTACATAGGCCACCTACAGTTTGCACCATCAATAAAAGTTCACGAGCCCTAATATAGTGCCTAGAATATACTAAGAATATTCTAGGCACCCACCCTACGCTTGCGAAATGCAATCGAATAGATAAAGTAACAACGCCTCGCGCCCATCGGTCCGCTCACCGCAGCTGATACCTACCGGCGGGACGACGGAACTTCAAGAGAAAAATGCGTTGCTGTAGTCACCAACGCTTCACGGGATCTGTAAATTTCCTAGCCTGAAAACGCGGCTATGGCTTGTTAGGAACTAAAGCTGGAAGCGTATGCCACGTTTTTCTCGAGCAAACAAGCTCGACCTGCTGCGAACGCTTGCGTTGCCAGCAACCACGTTCATTGGCTTAGCAGTGGCACTGAAACTTTTTTTTTGTCTTGAAGTTGCGTCGTCCCGGCCATTGTCCTGGCAATAGATATCTGGTACCGTCACCGAGTCAATATGCACGTGCCGTTGTTACTATACTTGGCAGGATGCGCTTTGCAAGGAAGCCGAAGCGGCACCTAACCCCCGGGTGAAAGAAGAAAAAATTGCAGCATATCCATGGAGTGAATGATGAGTGAGGCGAAGCGTTTGTCAGCCCGTCCGTGCTTCCGATCACCCGTTCGTTGTTGCTTCTGTTTGTCGGCGCTACCATCCATGCATCCGTTCATCTGTCCGCCCGTCTTCTAGTCGGTCTGTCTGTTCGTCCGTGCGTCCATTTAGTGAACACTCCAAGTACCGTCATCTCGCATCCCCTTTGGCACATACCTGCTCCGCGTGCCTGGCCATCTGTCCGTCTGTCTGCTAGTCGGTCTGTCCGTCCGTAGGTCCATCTAGTGAACACTCCTAGTACCGCCATCTCGCATCCCCTGTGGCACAATATCCGCTTTAGAGCGGGTATATGCCACTGGTGGCTACGTACGACAATGGAGGATGTACAGAGCCACGCCTTAAGGAACTTCGCCTTGAAAAAGGTGGGAATTGGGGAGAAGTGTAGCGGTTAGAAAATTTCTTGGATTTAACAGAATCCCATGCAGAGAATGCTGCTTAAGCTGCCTTCGCAGCAGTACACTAGTGCCTAGTGAAAAAGTGTATGAAGATTTGGAAGGCACTGTTAATGTTATTCATGGGACACTGCAAATTTTGCTGGGTTACTCAAGCGTATGCACGCCACCTAATACTGAGTACCAGTACAATAAGCGACGTCTAAATAAAGTACGGGCAATCATATGGGGCAGTGTATGACATTTCTGCTTCCCTAAAAAAAAACTAAATTGTGTGCAAGTTTTTTTTTTTTTTTTTTTTTTTGCTATCCTTGCTCCTCGGTTTTACGAATCTCTCAAATTTCAAGTTCGTGAGCTTAGCATATAGGTATTTATGTTCGCAGACTCTGTCAAATGATTTGACAGGTCCAGTAAATGCCAATATAGACTTCATTATCTGCACAGTAGGCTGGTTCAAAATACTACTCTAATTGAAATAGCAGTGCTCATGTTCACACTGCATGATTTAGGTGATGTTGAATGTTTTTTTTATAAATATTTTTTATAAATGTAAGCCTTCTTTTTTATAGTGCTCGAAATTTGGTATTTTGCGATAAAAAATGCATGTTTTCCCATACCCTGCTCCAAATTATGATTTTGGTGCTCCAGAAGTATCATTTTGCTGCTCCTAAAATTGCTCCAAATTCTATTTCAGCTGTTGCACCCATGCATACTCACGTGCGTCGCATTCGATACGGAACCGAAGCTCAAGTTTGCGGAGCGATGACAACGCCGCGCCTGGCTCTGGCGGCGACCTTCAGAAAACTTGAGGATAAGCGCGGGAGAGGGCGCAGACGAGTCAGTGTGTTTCACTTAAACGGGAGCGCATGCAACACGCGCGGAACGCATTCTGCAGTTGGTGCGGGAAACTTTAGCGCTGTGCCATCAGCTTGGCGCACTAAAATGAGACGCTCGCTGTGCGAAGTTGCCTTTCCGTTATGGAAGAAGCGGCCCCACGGAAGCGTCGGCGAGGTCCGAAGTATTGTTGTGTTGTGGGCTGCCACAAAAATGCAAACAACACCAAGGGACGCTCTCCACATGTAAAGCTGTATCAGTTTCCCAGCAAGTCACAGCCGGTGAACACAGCCACATTCGCGAAAAATAGAGCAAGCATGACACGAGAAAAAAAAAAAAAAAAAACGAGGCGAACACACTAACTTGATTCGCTGTGTTTAAAGCTCAGCTTGCTGCTTCGTGAAGTCAGCGGGTCTTGCTCTCGCGGCACGAAGGACATGTCTCTAAAACTTCTCGGACATTTGAATGCCATGACCGTATAACTTTAGTTTTTATTAATTTTTTAGCACGCCGCAAACATTTACACATGACAGTACACAGCTGTTACTGCTAGATACCACATCAAACAACAATTATATGGTTTCCATAAACGTCAACACAGCACATCGATAGAGTACGCAGATTCAGTTCGGCAGAATGAGACTTTCCTCGAGGCATACGTTGTACACGGTATTATCACGGAGGACCCTGTAATTGCATTTCGCAGTGATTCAGGTGTCCTCGTCTTTCATCGTATGCTCCACATCATAAACTTGACAAACGAGCGTTACTCCTTTCGTTCGAGTCGCTTCTCGGAAGTGCTTGTCCAGCTCAGAGATCTTTATGAAGCCGCACTGCAGGCGGTACTATATGAAGTGACTCAAACGCACCTCGAGCTCTCTGCACGAGCATGTAAGCGAGCAGCAGTGCATTGGCGGGAAGGGAAAACGCGATATACATCCCCAACTTCTACTTTTCTACTAGAGATGATGCTGCCTGTTCAGAGTCGCAGCACCACTATGCGTTACTTTGGCTTCCTATGAACAGCTGTCCTCGGCACACTCGGCAAGAAGAATGTTCGTGAAGTAAGCTGCTTACCATGTCAACTATTGTATACGTCGTGGCCGACAAACTTTCGATGCCTCACTTGCTCGTGAGAACACTCATTTTACGATCTGTTGTCGGGATCGAAGAAATTTCCGCTGTTTTCTGTTGTCCACGACTCTCGATGATATTCTGGTCAGCCATGGTAAAAAATGTAGCGTCTATCTTCTCATGGCCGCCCGATCATGCGTACCAGCTGCAATCGAAGCAGCCATCGCAATCACCGCCACGCTTTCTGCGGTTGTGAGGTCTTCTACAGCAACAGCATTGTCTGCCATCGTAATTACAAGTGGCAACATTGTTTCCTGGCTGCTCATTGGAGTATCATCCTGATCAGCCGATTATGACACCACCGTGGATGCCATTGCAATCGCCGTCTTCACGTGTATTGCACTGCCGCTTCATTGCAGCATTCCTTGTGCTCCTCCGCCAAAGTGATCAGAGATATTCGTCGACAACTGCGATGATTTATGGCACTCTGGGTGCATGTCGCCACTGCTAGAATCTGTAGCGATCGGTGGCTGCCTTTGCGTCGGGTTGCTACATCGCGGCGCCTGCTCATCAGTTGTCCCGCTCGGCTGTGCCGATGTAGACGCTGCTGACTACGATGACTCCTCGGGCTATGTGGCACGTTTTTTGCAGCACTTGCTGAATTTATGCAGCGTGGGGAACTTACGAGCACGGTTTCCCATCTCTATTCCGATCACAAAACATTCAGGAATGGCAGTAAATTAGCAAAGTAGCGGCCACGTGCGCATCATCGCTAGTGTTGTCAGTCCACGCTCTCCAATCACAAGGCACTGTTCACTCACGTGACCGCTATAGGTCAGTGATACGACATGGTTCTTTCGCGTGTTTTCACCTAGTAGTGCACATTGGCAGCAGCATTGAAGGTTCGTTTTCGGCGGGAATGCAAGTCGACAAGATGCTCTTTCAAACGAGGCTAAGATGGCCGCGTTCTGATGAGTGGTAAGTGCGAGACGAGCAAGGCAGAACAGGGCCATTTTCGGCGTTTTTGTAAGCGAATCCAAGTGCTGTGATGCATAAATACGATCGATTTGGGTTACACGTTGCATCATTTTGAGCTGATTTTTTGCTGGAAGGCACGCGATGATATCAAGTGAACAAAAATTGCAAAATTGAAGAAATAATCTTTTTGGACGTTTTTTCATCACCAAGACCAGAGTCCCCCATTAAAGCATATGCATTGGCTGGGCAGAACACGAGAAAAATTGCAGTTGTCTTAACACTGCTGCCACCAGTGTAGGTTCATTCCAGTCGACATGACTTCAACGCTACTGTGAAACGTTTAATAGCATTAAATGCATGTTAGCTGACACACCCTCCTGTAACTTGTTCATTTCTGTGCCACCACTAAACAGTAGTGCAGAAGTTTCATAAGGCCTCAACCCACTCCCCCCCTTTTTTTTCCTGGTGCAGTTTTACCTGACTGGCATGGCTGGATCGTTCAAGGATGGTTCCATGAACATGTATGGTATTCAGAAGTGGGATGTAAGTTGCTGTACTTTTTTGTTTGCATTTGTTACAATCTCGCTAACTTTCAGCAACAGCGATAGTAATCCTCAAGGCAGTATTACTGATTGGTGATTTACAATTGAAATGCTTTTGCTCTGGCGCTCTTTGGCCATATCTGGCCCTTGCGCCAATAAACTCCGCTAATCAATCAATCAATTGAAATGCTTCATTTGTTCAGTTCCTCTGTATGTGCTTGACCAAACTGACAGATAGAGCCTGAAATTTATTCAAATTTGGATTGGAAGACTGTGCCCATAAGTAATATGAGGCAACTGAATACTGAATTCAGACTGCTAAATATTTTTATTTTCATTAATATTGCTATGCTAATACATTGATGATTGAAACAAAAATAAAGGTAGAAGTTTGATTTTTCAATTTTATCCTGGTATGTAAGCCTGATGTTATGAATTTCAGGGTTCTTTTTTTATGTTTTGGTCAGGATCACTCAGTAAAATTTCCCAAAACCTGCGATGTTTGTTTAGGTCTCCTTTTGAAAACATTCTTATCTATTTGTAATGATGAACTATTGATTATGACCAAGCATATTCTGTTAAAATCCACAATGGTGAGCTGACACAGAAATTTCTAAGTGGTGTCACCACCTGTCTTTTTTTTTTAAATGTGAAGCAATTCTTAGCGAAATTCAGCAATTTTAAGAGTATCTATCTATCTATCTATCTATCTATCTATCTATCTATCTATCTGTCTGTCTGTCTGTCTGTCTGTCTGTCTGTCTGTCTGTCTGTCTGTCTGTCTGTCTGTCTGTCTGTCTGTCTGTCTGTCTGTCTGTCTGTCTGTCTGTCTGTCTGTCTGTCTGTCTGTCTGTCTGTCTGTCTGTCTGTCTGTCTGTCTGTCTGTCTGTCTGTCTGTCTGTCTGTCTATGTATCTATCTATCCATCTATCTATCTATCTATCTAAATTAACTAACTATCCACTTACGTTTGGGTGCTGTCGTGGTTACCCCATTTACTTGACATGAACCAAATTTAGCATGAGAGGGTAAGATGGTTTGATGAATACGATGTGTTTGTTAAGACATGAATAATGTCACAATCCCGTCGCCTACATCCTACATCGTCAAACACTTCCCGCCAGACAGTGGCACATACCCACGGGCTGGTATGTGCCGCTGATATACGGGTGTGTGCCACAGGTGATTGTGGCTTAGTATCTGCACAGGAACGACGAGAACACACATGGGCAATTTTAACTCGCGAGTGTTAAGGAATGCCCGACGTCAGTAGTGTCGATCCGACGAGTCCCAGCTGGAATCGAACCCAAGCATTCTGTGTGCCAAGGAAGAATTTTACCACAGAGCTACGCCAGGTCTCAGAACTACTTGTCAAATAGACACTAATCTTCGGGAATCTGATAAACATTACATATGTACTATTTTGATACAGCCTTCACGTCAGGTTAACATCAGATGTGATTAGTTGCCATGCGCTGAAGTTGATTTATGTAGCAGTGTCCAGAGCAAGTATCTTCGCAAGCATCAGCGCTTCATATCAGCTTCTGGTGTTGCTAATACGCATGTTCCAATTGGCATTGTTGGGCAAGTGCAAGCAACTCGTTAAATAAACATCTGCAACTCTTGCAACATATGTCTGTGTGTGCGACATTTGTACATTAATTTAGGGTCATTTCATAACGTGTCGCTCAATAAAAAAATTGCAACATGGTCACCTTTTTTCCGCATGCTTCGCATAACGTGGATTCCCAGGTATGTGGGATCTGCTGAATTTTTTTAGTGCCTTTTCTGGATAACCCAACCTCTCCACTATTTAAGGGGAGGCACTGGTCTCAAAAACGAAATTTTTCATCATTAGAGGTATTTTAATAAATTAGGTGTGTATATGTGTTTCTTTCTTCTGTTTTTGAAAATGTAATTGTTTTATTGTACCTCAAGTTCTCAGATTATGAGAAAATAATGAAAGTTTAATTAAGGTTATTTCCTGCGGGGATAATGGCACTTTCCCTCGATATTTCTTGGTTCAGTTTAATATGCAGCTGTAGCCAAAGATCTGGCATGTGGAGCTATGCTATTGATATTCATGCCGATATCCATCATCAAATGAAAATTTTCAATTGTACTGATGTTTCATAATTATGAAGTGTAATTTTCTCAGACGACGATTGTTCGCGAAATCTTATATGTTCAACTTATCCATAAAGAAATAGCATAGCCCCACAGTTTGATCCTTCTTGAGTTCAACGGTATAACATTTATTGAAATTGGCTCAGAAAAACATTACGAAAAATGTGAATCTAAGAAAACCGCATTTGAAGTTTTGAGACTCACTGCAGAAATTTATAAAAGGAATGTTCAACAATAAATTTTATTTAGTTGTTCCCTGTCTGTTTGCCTGCTAAACAAAACAGATAGTTTTTTCTTCATCCAAGGAATCATTAAAAAAAATTCGAATGTGGAAAGCAAGATCTGAGCCCCATCATGGCAAGTGGTTGAAGGGGAGGGGAGTGGGGCGTGGTCCTGAAAAGACCATGGGGTATGAGACTAAAGCCACTTCTTGTTAAATTAATGAGAATTCGATTTGCATTAAATAACTGCCTGCATGTTAATCATTAGTTAACTGCCTGAATGTTGGGCAGCATCTGCCCTGTGTAATAGGTCACTATGAGCTGAGCGTTGCTTACTCTCAGCCACGCGCAGATGTAGCGTCCCAAGACTGTGCAGGGTGCACAGGGAATTGCGTAGATTTTGCGTTTCTGACAAGCGCCTTTGCAAAACCACAGCGAAACCAAGCGGACGCACCTTACCCTCCACTCAATTGCCTTCGTAAGCGGAGCGTGGCATGCACTATCTGTTCGGCTGCTCGTGTGATTATTCTGCACATGGAGCAGATCGTAAAATGTAAGGGTGCCTAATGGGCAACGACTTCACCAAACTCTCATCCCGACAGTGCACTTCTAGCCGGTGCCTTTTTGTTCTAAGCCCGCTTTTTACCGCTTCCAAAAGCTTGTTGCGAGGATAGTTTCAGACAAGAGTCTCCAGACATCTCGATCGTGTGGATAAACTACCGGCGCAAAGCACAAACACATTGCGTCGAGAAACATTCACGAGTGCCAGAGCACACATGATCGTACAGTCTCAATGGGGAACGCATAAAAAAAAAACACGTTGCTCACGCCAGCCAATGGGAAATGTGGAACAGGGCTATTGAAAAGCACACCGGCCATGTCAGCCAGTGGAAGCCGCGGTGTGGCGCACTCGAAATGCGCGCCGAGTGAGAGCCAATCAGCAACGCAGGAACGACCTTCAGAAAACCTGCGACGGCGGCCATTCTGCTTGGACGACGTCATTTTGAGATGGCACAAATTAGGCACAAAGGAAATAGCTTCAAATCAAGCTCAAGAAGGCGGTGCTCGGCCCGCTGCAACACTCATGGCGCGCGTGAAAAGTTCGAACGAATTTCGTTCTTTTGGGAGCACTTCACTGCTGCCGGGGTGCTTTGAAAGCCCATTTTATCGAATTTCCCAACGGAATTTGGCGTGGTATCTTTATAGTAGTTGCTCAGAGGTACAAACGAAAATAAGTTTTGCAAAAAAATTCATTTTTTGACTATTTCTTATGGTAAGAACCGTGTCCCCCATGAAGAGTTTTGTTTTTGGTGTCGTAAAGAGGTAATTTACTACTACAGATGCAATTTTTCTTGTCATAACTTGCATTATGGGAATCTACAGGACATGCGATATTTACTCGCATAATTTGCAAATTTTTTTTTTTGCAGTTTTGGAGCAGCAAAAAGGGGTTTTTCGAATTATGCGGAAATTTCTCAAGCATACCAAAATACGTGCAATTAATAGTCCTAACACAAGTAGTATATACATTTAAATAAAGCAAATAAATTCTACCACAAACGAACAAATGAAGTGTACATGTTCATTCAGTATAATTAGCACATACTTCAAAAAGTGTGATCTGGTCATGCGCGGTCTAATTGTAAGACTGGCCAAGAGATCAGATTTGAAATCGTCGTTGCGACCGCTGTCATCGCACCCCCAAAGTACGTCATCCTCTGTTCCGTTGAGCACGTTTGAATGCCCCATTTTCTTAAAGCTTTTCTTGAAAATGCTGGTGGAAATCGGGTCCCATGACACAGCAATTCGGGTGGACCGAAGCTTTGGCATATAATTGAAAAGGTCTTCTCAATGGCAGGAAACTTGCATTAGCAAGCGTGCACTGTTCTGCCTTCTTCTGTACCAAACATTGCATGTTGATGAACTTCATGCTGAAAGTGCTTGGTGGCAGCACGGTTCCCATTTGCTTCAGCAGACTATAACAGCGAGCTTTAATTTTGCCATATATATAATTATTCTAGCACATTGAAAGTAAAACATAGTGGATGGTTAGTGAAACCTAAACTTCCCTAATCAACCAAGTGGATATTGCAGAACTGTGACACATAGAACAAGGAGAACAGTTGGCGTGACTGGCTCTCGCATCCCTCAAATACAGGAAATAGTCCATGCCGTGTCGCGAACGTGCATTCTAGCCATGGACCCTAATCAACAAAGTGGATATTGCAGAACTGACACATAGAACAAGGGGAACAGTTGGCGCGACTGGCCCTCGCATGCCTCAAATACAGAAAATAGTCCATGCCATGTCGCAAACGTGTATTCTAGCTGTGGAAGAGGTAGAGGAAGGTTGGCGCTTGAGAAGTTCCTGACGACACCATAGCTGTGGACAGTCTAAGAGAGAGGAAAATAAATGTTGATTTCGAAACAGTGTTCCGAGCTATGCCCAGTATCACCCTAAGGTGGGAGGGCTCCCTAATTGGCTTCGACTGCCCTCTTGGCCCTGGCGGCGAGTTGTCTCTGGTCTTCCAGGTCCTCCAGGACGAGTCTTTTCTCCCATATTTCGATTAGATGGTCGTCGTTCATTCTTGGTGCTTGGTCCCGCTTCAGTTTCGTGTCGTAGTTTTGCATGGCGCTGGCATTCGAGGAGCAGC